AAATATGAAAGAGAGGGAGGGAGGGAGTGAAAGAGAGAGAAAGAGATTGTTAATGTATGATGTGCCACTTTTCACATTTATTCTGTCTATCTACACTCAGCATGTTACCAGTCCTTCACTGTGATCAAGGCAAGTGTGGATTTAACATATGGGAAGGGTACCAAGGGTATAGACGTCAAGGACATCAAGATGATAGCTATAAACGCCTACAGAAAATGTAGCATTAATTCTATGAGATTTATTTCTGAACTCATATAGATATAAAATTCTGTATGTTTGTACATATAAAAATATATTTGTTTGTTTAGCATACAGCTAAAAAGAAAAATGTATCAATTTGGGACAAGGACATTTTGCAATGTTAACTCAGAGCTCTGTCCTATTTATCTACAAGGCCACACATAGTGCAGTCAGCGAAAAGACTATCTGAAAAATTAGAATAGTGGCAACATTGGCCTGGCATACTACTCACATCTATTGTTGGTTTCAGTTAGAAGGACTACCTGTCATTCTTTGAAAGGAGATAATCTGTAGTAACATTACCATCTGCCTAAGCTAAGAAAAACAGGGAATCTCAGTTTAACAATTATTTAAAAAGTGAGTTATCAGTTGCACTGGGAGAGCAGATATGTCCTGCTGTGCTTGTCTAGGCCATCTGTACATAGTGATCTGGTCCAAAGATGTGTTAGTCACATCTTTAGTCAGTTAGTTTGGCTGGACAAGTTTTATAGCACTGGTGAGTTTCCTTCAATTCTTAGTGAAAGATGATTTAAATATTATTTTAAGGACTTAAAAACCATTACTTTAATAAAAGCAGCAAAAGGGTGACTAAAACTTTACTTTTAGAAAGTTACAAATGGACCAAAGGTCCAGATAAATTTTAAATAAGATTTTGGGACTAATTATAAAGAATCCTTCCTGAGGGAAAATGCTTATTGTTTTAAATTCTTTTTTTAAAAAAGATAAGACCTTAAAAATTGGATACCCAAAGGAACTAATAGGAGCTAAAGGTTATAGTTAAAGGTGAAGTCGCCTTATGGTGAGATGGACAGAAAATAAATTAAATAAAACAAGAACACTCAAATTTGATTTCCTAATACAGAATGAAACAAAATATTTTAATATTAGACATATTGAAGGGTATTTTTGAACAACGAACCCAGGATTTATTTTTAAGACTATAGGTAGATTGAAAATGGATTTAAAAACAACAGGCTACAAGAATGACATGGAAAAAATGTTACATTTTACATACAAAAGAAATGACTGATATCTTAATAATTAAAAGAGATATTTTGATTATTAAAAGGTATATACATACCAACAAACCATTTCTTTATATATTTCTTTCCCTTTTCTTCACTATATTCTATTTTTTTTTTGTTTTTACTCTTCTGTATCTTCTATTTTTTTATTCTTTTTAGTTTGCATAAGTTGTTACCATTGTAGTTGTAATTTTTAATATAATTACTATTAAAAAAGAACTAGCATGTTTCTCTCTTTTTCACCATAACTATCACACAGAGCTCTTGCAAGTAAGCTTTTCCTTAGTACAGGAATGTCTAATCCAAACTACCTGTAGGTGGGAAGCAAGGCACAGATGTATATCATTATATCTACCATGCAAACACTTGATCACATAATTATACATGTTATGTTATAATAACAGTTTGAAACCATCCTGAAAAATAAAAACATTTTTTGCATATGGATCCCCAAATAAACTTGGCCAGGGAAACATATCTTAAACTAGTCAATCAGATACCTGGCATTTTTGCCATTATATCACCCACAAATGTGTTCTCTGTTTGAGGTATCATTTTGACTTCTGTTTCAGCTTGCCTGAGGCTAATGCCAAGAGCTAATTCCATGTCCTCTTGGCCAGTGGTGGGATTCAGCCAGTTCGCATCACTTCAGCAGAAATGATAGCTAATTTTTGTTGCCCAGGCCCAGAACGGACTTCCGGAAGCGGCATCCACATAAAAAACTGGTTGTTTACATATTTGAATCCCACCATTGCTCTTGGCCCTATAAAACCAATACTTGTGCTAGGATAATGCCTAATTTGTTTCTTTATCTGATTGCTTCTTTGAATCTTGACCCATATCTCCTTTTGACTAAGAATTTATCTCTTGGATCTGACTGATATTTGCTAATTTAGAACTCATCCATTTCTGTCCTGGATCACATTCTTTCAGCCATTTTGGATAGGCCTGTTCAAGAAACACACTGCAGGGGTTCCAGGTATGACCTTTTATTGTTGTAGAGTTACCATATTAACAGAATCTTGAAAGCCTGTATTTCACTTCTTAAGCAAAATAAGATCATGTCAAGGCTGTACTAAATCTCTATCTCCACTTTCAATTTTCCCAAGGGCTGAGTAACTGTTTTACCTCTTTCACTTTCTCTTAAGGCCAGAGCTAAATTTCTTCCTAAATTCATACATTTGGGGAACATATTAAAGGCAAAGAGTGGGAAAGTTTAAATGACTGAGGTGGCAGCTATGATCTTGAAAAGGAAAATAGCAGCTTTTAGCTTGAGATATCTTCTATCAAACACAGATATAAAGATCAGAAGCTGTGCCTAAGAGGAGTAGAATACTAAGGTTTTTCTAAAGGTTTCATAGAATAAGGTACAGCAGTTGACGTCTAAAATATACCACTTCAGAATTCATTGGACAAGGTCTTTTTGTATGTTGCAGAAGTAAAAGAGAGAAAAAATGACTATGTAAATTGTTGCATGGCAGAGATTTACGGTAGCCTTCTCCCTAATGCATACCGATTCACCCTATGAAAAGATCTTGTTAATTTCAGAATTACATCTCTCAAATTTACATTCTGAAATGTTATAGCCCAGAATTCAACACCTCATCCAACATCAGCCTGGTCTGGTTTAAAGAAGATATTCAAGTGGACTGCATGTTCTTTAGACAATAACGGAAACGAACATATTTTAGAAGTTCCCTATTATAGCTTCTCCCAATAAGAAAATTGTCATAGCAAAAAGCAAACTGGTTTAAAATTTGTTCCCATATTTTGATAATTCATATTGTTGGGAGTGTTGAGTTCTATTTTTTAAAACCAAATGAATGTTAAAAAGTGGAAGCCTCCCAGTGTGATATATAGAGAGGAGTCAAAAGTTTAAGTGACTAAGAGAATAATAGCGTCAGGAAGAGGAGTTCCTACTAGAGTCAGGAACAGAAATGGGGGGGGGGAGACTTCCAAAATGTCAAAGAGGAAAAAAATGCAAGCAGCTTTCAGAATAAATAATCATAACAGCCAAAAAATTGGGCAATAAGAAATATATATGATGACTGAATGCAATTTTTCAATATAAAACAAGAAAACCTTAGCGAAGATATTCACATTCCTTCATTTTCTATTATATATTTTCTATTACCTTTTATATCCCACTTTCTAATAGGGACAGTTCCTTAATGTATTTATTTTCTGCAAATGTTTCCAATATACTGTAAGAGCTGTACTATCATTTTAGGCTGGAAGATTATTTCTTTTTTCACATTATATTTCAAAAGAAAGGAAAAGGGGGGGAAATGGTGTCTGGAAAAGTTTTTTTCAACTTACTGAGGACATCTAGTGGCAAAAATCTATTATTGCAACTTTTGGCTATTTTTGGGAGATGGAATAGATGAACCTTAAAATTACCTTTGAAGAGAAAAGATAAGCTGATGCAGCTGTGAGAGTTGTGGGAGCGGGCACTGTTTAACTTTTATTAAACACAGCCTCCACAAGGAGAAAAAAGAGACTCTTTTTAATTACTATCAAAATGGAGAAAGCTCATTTAGAATTAAACTGCAAACTGCAAAAGATTTATGAGGCCACTGCAGAAATATGTGCTACAATGAAATAGTTTACTACAGAATTAAGATCCAGAAGTTGTATTTCAAATCTTCAAACTGATCTCCAGACTATATCTGACTATTCGATAAATCAAAACATACTAGAAGAGGAAACAACTGAGATAAATGAGGAAATTACTTTATCTTATAAATATTCCATCTACAGCTTTGAGGACCAGAAGAATCAAAGATTGAGACTGGAAACTTTAAAGCAATGAAGCTTTAAGGATGAGAGAAATAGATGCCTAAGGCAGAGGATGGGATTCCTATTGTTTCAAAGGGTACTACAAGCAATAGAGACCTATTGGCTGAAAGGGAAGCCTGGTTATGGAAACCTGCCTGGCACAGAAAAAAGCCAGAATAAGACTGAAAAGAGGAATTTAAAATTGTGTAATGGATTTAAAGGCAATGTTGATTTATGGAGAGTTATAAGGATTAAGATTCAGAGTTAGAAGTAAGAAAAAAGGTTGATTATTAGAATAGATGTTTTAATTAGATTAAGAATGTACTTTTTGGAATAATAGGTTTATTTTCATGAAAATTTTTACATATTGGAATGGAAAAAATGCTGGCTTTCTAGAGTTGGATTGTTTTAATAATTAATTCTTTTAAATTAGAAAGATGATGTTTCTGTATGATAATATAGATGTAATAAGGCATGATAATCAATTGGATGAAATTTGAATTTTGTTTAATGAATTGAAATGAGTTAAGACTTACATAATTTTGTTATTTTAAAGAGATTGATCGATTGATGGATTATATATGTATAGGGTAGATTAATATTTTATCTTAATTAGGATATGTATTGTGTAGTGGAAGAAGAAATAAATGAGACTTGTGATAAAATGAGGGATATTCGAGATTAAGAATTAGAATATAGCTGGAAGGGATACCTGAACTGATAACTTGTTGACTTAAAGTTAAATTTGATTATGGTAATTGTAAATCTACAAAGTTTTAAAACAGGTTTAGCAGTTATAGAAATTTAAATAAGAAATGGAATATTTTAAACGTATTATGCTAGTGGAGGGAAATAGAGAGGGGACATTGAATATATTGATTTGAGTTATTTATATATGGTTCTATTGTTGAATGTTTGATTACCCAAACACCACGGTGTGTCCTGAGCACCTTTTTTAAGATTTAAAAAACCAATAAAATGTGTTTCAAAAAAAAAATCAATGAATACATTAACTGCAGCTTGTGAACAGAGCCAGGTCTTAAAAGCTCTCTGGAACTCTAGGAAAGTGGTCAGCATCCAAATACTCAGGGGGATTTTGTTCTAGAGAATAGGGACAGAGAATACATGCTTTCTTGGTTCCACAATGGCAAAATTTAATAGAAGGGCTCTGAAGCATATCCACTCTGTCCAAACATGATATATTTGGAGATAGGTAGTTCCTCAGATAGGCCCCAAGCCTTGAAGGGTTTTATAGGTGATCATCAGCGTCTTGAATTGCATCCAGAAGCCAACTGACAACCAGTATAGTTTGCATAGCAATTGTGGCAGTTGAATGTAATGTGAAGTGCCCATTACTGTTCATACTACTGCATTTTGCACCAGATGTAGCCTCTTTATGGTCTTCAAGGGCAGCTCCATGTTAATCACATTGCAATATTCCAATTGTGAGGTGACCAGGGCATAAGTAACCATTGAAAAGGCCTTCTAGTCAAGGAAAGGTGCAACTGATGCTGAAAGAAAGAGCTGCAAACTCAGGACAGCCCTATCATTACACCAATCTTGCATGGGGAAGTACAAGCCCATCTAAGACCAACAATGAAAATATCACTGGCCCAAACTGTTTGTAGCCAAACAGGGATGGTTACTCAGTCTTATCAGAATAAAACTGAAGTCTACTTCTCCCTATCCAGCCTTGAACAGCTTCAGGCATTGGTTCAATATATCCAGACATGTTGGTACAAACTTTGTGAGTTCTAGGCTTGCTTTACTGCAATACTGTTATACTGAAATCTCCAAACATACAGGCAAGAATCTCACAATTGTTGAGAAAATATTGAGGTCCCTCTGGTTAGATTCATTCATTGAGATGTCTGTAAAACAGAATATATAGTTGATGGACTATGCATGGGGAGAAGCTTAGGTTCCTTATATTCCTAAAGGACAAAAAATCCTTAATTGCTTTTCCTTTATTATGGACACATTAAGGAAAGCTGCAATATCCAAGATTTATGCTCTTGGAATGGTAGAATAGTATAAGAAAAAGGGATCTATTCTTCTTACAGAAAACTAACTGAAAGAGAGAGCACAAGAATATTAGTCTCCCTTATGGGGAAAAGCACTGAAGAAACAAAGAAGCATTTATTGTTATTTCTACTCCTAACATCCACAGCAGTAAATAGAATAATGTAGGTTGGCAGAGCAGAGTAGCCCCTTCAACATCTTCTGTAGTACCACTTATCTTTTTCAGTTTCATGACAGCACTGTTATTATTCTACAAATGTACAAGAATCTTTTCCAATCATCATTCGTTAAAAGAAGTCAAATTGCAAGACCTGACTGCATCTCTCCTCTGCGAAGGGAAGGTGATAGATGATGCCATTGGGAATCTTCATCACAATTTTTTTTTCAAAAAAAAAATCAAATTTTTTCCCAGCAAAATTCTGAAGGAAGAGTAAAATTTTGAAAGTCAAAACTGCCAACTTTGTGAGATATAGTAGAATGAGCAAAACTGAAATCCTCAAAGGATGCTCACTTGTTTTCTAGAGCTTCTTTTTCTTATAGTTTACAATAAAATGAAAAGATGGAAAATGCCATTATTTCCCCCCCCAGTGCAATCACATGAGATTAGCATTCTTTCTTTAGCATACCTTTTTTTTTCTCTGATTACACACATTTACAGAAACACATTGAAAAAAACCTGAGGTCAGAATTGTGACAGCCCTGAAAAATATGCACTGACAGGAGAATCAAAAGAGAATTTTAGTAAGAGCAAACTGCTATACATAACAAACCAAAGTGTTGCCGAGTGTAACTGAAAAGGATATCATATAGAAACAATCAAGAGGCTCGTTAATAACAGTAATGATAATAGATTGTGCCTATTACGTGCACAGTTTTGCAAAGGGTAGAAGACAAAGAGACTTATATAAATAAAAGCCTAAAATATTTTTTAAAGCAGATAAGTTCCAGTAGATCAGATACCTGACAATAGTAATTAATCTTTTTGATCAGTGGGTATGCTGTGCATTTCTAAATAGAGCGTATTTTCATAGATCACATTTTAATCCTTGATATTGCTGACACTTCAGTAACACTAGTTTGCATGATACTTTATTTTGAATCAGTTGATTCCCTTGCAGTTTCTGCTTTTGAATTCCCCACAAGTTCAGACACAAAGTTTTTTGTCCCAGTAATTGACAGAAGGTTGCCCCGTTAAAATACTCAGTTTTGGCATTGTAGTTTTTCAGGTTTGCTTTTGATTTTCAAACTATCTTCTGTACTCAGCTGTACTGAACAGAATTTGTCAAGTTGAGTTGCTCTAGTGATAAGGACCTGGTTTTTTTTAGAATTGAGCCTTAGCTAAAGTCCCTTTTGAATTTACTTTGACTCCTAATGGCTTTAACAATAGATCCATGTCGTTGCCTTGATAGGAAAAAGGAAATAGTAGGCCCTTGCCTTCTTCTGGAATCTGCATTTTAGCTTCCCAGTCTAGCTGATCAATCTTCTATTCCTGGAGGACTCCCCTCCACATATTAACAAGATTCTATTTTCCTTAGATTCTGAACAAGACAAGGTCAGGTAGGTGCTAAAATAAGTGACATCCCCTCTCAAAAAAACCCAGTATGATGCAAAAGTTTGTGTTTGCCTGAATTTAAATGATTTCAATACTTAACAAAATCACCCATTTCCAACACTCTGGCCCATTATGTCTTATTTTGGCATAGATTATTAATATTTGATGAATGAAACATCTATTGCTATATTTGTTTGTATCAACACTATTACTTAGATTGACTAAATAATACCAAGAGCCATTTAACAGAGGATCAAGTGTGCATGTTTAAGTGCATTTTCTAACATTGATATAAACAATGTTAGAATTCAGAAATAAAAGCATTTTAGCATTATTTGTTACAGCAGTACAATGCTAGCAATGCAGTGGACAACAGTATTTCTGAGAGATACAACTCACCCAGTCTCTTGATTTATTCTATTTAGATTTCTTGATAGTTTTCTTGTTGGTTCTAACTTCATGCAGAGTACTCCGGTGTTGTGACAACAAAACCTCTAAAATGATAAGTAAATGAATGTAAACGCCCCCATGTAATGATTTATATATCAAATAAAGCAGTGATCCAAATAAAAATAAAATATTCTAATGGAATGAGTATGTTTGTAGCCTTCTCATTCATTCTTTGTATTCATTTTGACCCAAAATTCGTTGAGATACATTGTTGAGAATACTGTTTTCAATGAAGTGTCAGAAGAGATATCAATTAATTGCTGTTCCTCAGTAGTAGTAAGCTATAAATTTATTATCTTAAATGAACAGAAAAGTTAATGCTGAGGAAAGGAAATAGGGTGGAGGATGAGTTTATGAGTTTAGTAATATTAAGTAGTCCAAGGTCAGCTTGAAGGAATTAAAAATGTCAGAACCATTGCCAAAAAACTAAGCTGCTTATGTCCCTTCTATGGGGAAGCAGGGGGAAACCCATACTTTGAGAAATCCTGCTCAGTGACACTGTACTAGGAAGCACATCATCATAAATAACTGTGAAGACATTTAATAAAGCAGCTGTTTTTCTTTTCTTTTTTTTTAAAGGCAAACATTTATACAAGAGCACCACCTAGCATAATGGTGCTATTCTCTAGAAACCTGCTAAGAACATAATTGTGCTGCTCTTTATGAGAGAAAGATTCCAATTGTATTATATTTATTTACATGTCTTGTAAGCTGCTCCAGTCTGCCAACTTTTAAATAGCATACAATTTTCAAATACATAACTGGCATTAAAATTACATAGTCAGTTCAAAAACAGCTAGAAGTATTTCTGTGCGATTGAAAGTCAGGAATAAAAACATTAACAATAATCTCACAACCAAGAGATCATTGCAGGAGTCCTGCCTCCTTGAGGTGGTGGAACAACCCAGTTTTCATCAACTTCCAGGGAACCAGAAGTGAAGGGGCTGATTATGCATCAGAGAGAGAGGGAGATGCTGTTCTAGAGGGGCCAGTGACTGAAAAGGCACACATAGTAAATTCACCTGTTGGAACATTCAGTCAGGCAGCTATGATAGAAAGAAGGGAAATAAGACCAAACAATGGTGTAAATAGCAACCAACACCTTGAATTACACCAGAAGCCAACTGACACCTCTCAGAGTAAAGATGTTACATGGGTACATCTTGAGTCCCCCCCCCCACTACTTGAGCTGCTCTCTTCTGAACCAGCTGCAGCTTCTGAATGCTCTTCAAGGGCAATTCCATGTACATCAGTCTAATCAAAACTGATTAAGACAGGAGTGACAATGAGTAATGCCTCTTATTCCAGAAAGGAATATGAAATTGTGCAAGGTCTCCCTTGAACACTGTTACATGTTCCTCAAATAGGAGTCGTGAATTTGAGAAAACATTCAAACTGCAAACCAGGTTCAAACTTTATCTTATCTCTGCTTTGTTATATCTAATCCTTGTTTTAACTAGTGGCACTCTCTAGACATATCTTTGTTTCATTTCCAGAGCTTGTCAAAGAACCAAGAAGCCATCTTGTATCAGCAACCTGGGAAGGGCCATTCGAGTGCAATTTTATCCAAGGTTATTGTCCCCTCATTCCAGTAAATAGTTAAAACCTACTGTTAGCTTTGGAAATTCCCCAAATATTATCAGGAAACCTAACAGTTCCATTAGATGTCTGGGGTAGACCAATAAAATAGGTCTCTCCTCTGGGAAGTGATGGCACTAGAGAACTTTATACCAATTGTGGAATGATCAGGCAGATATTAGTAATTCTGAATCTTAGATCATTTCACAACTGCTCAAGACAAAACTCAGATTTAACATTGCAATTTAAACAAATTCCTTGAGTTTATGTCTTACTTACAAATATATTTTCTGAAAAGCAAACTGATATGAAAACAATAGTTTTTGTAACAGAGATTGTTTCTAAGCTGTTCACAGTAATTTTTTTCTGTATCAAAACTGGTGAGGCATCCTTTGATTGAACTGTTTCAACGTGCTATTTAGTGGTTATGAGTACAAATCGCATTTCTTTCTTTTATACAACATTGTTTGATCCCAGTGTTTGCAGGACTGAATGAATCCAACCAGACAGAATGTTTTCATGTGAAGTTTCTAACACATCATAACAGATGCAGTATGACTTTATGAGAAGTAATCATCATTGCTAAGGTCAGTAGTCTCTCATTCCCATAATTTCTAACAGCTTGACCAATTTAAATAGCAGTTTCCACATAAAGGAATTGGAAGACAATCTTGGCCAATCCTAAATTATGATTTTCAATTTTAAAATAATCTGTTTCCTGCTATACAGAATAAAAATAATTAATATATCTAGGCCAAATAGACGCATTAATTCCTTGAGATCTTGCAGTGAATAGAAATGTAATTGGTCGTTCTAATGAACTGACTTTAGTCCTTCATAGATATAAGCCCTGTTCAATCAATGCAGAAGATAATCAAATTCAAATTCTGCATGTAATTTGTTTCCATTTCTGCTTTCATATTTCTTAGTAATTGGAAATTTGATGAGCTTACTGAATTTTCTTCTACTTTTCTCTACACAATATATGTTCTGAGAGGCATGAAACTATACTTAACAAAAGATGGCCAAGTATGGTTTAATGCTATTTCTGCATTTACTTAAAAGTAGGACTATTTACCTCAATAATTTATCTTAAAAAGGGGAGGATCATTTTACATTTGTGGAGAATATAGGAGAATGTGATGTTTCATTACTAGATCACTTTTGGTTTATCAATAAAAGAGAGATATAGAACACATCAACATATCCTCCTTGCATCAAAGCTGAGATGGCCTGCTTATCTTTTGTAGATTTTGCTGCCATCTTATTGGTGGACAAGGTGAAACTGAACCAAAGCAATTTGGCAGAAAGGTAGCACTTTCCAGGGGAAAATGTGATATAATCTATGAAAATGTTATGATTCACATGCAGGAGGAAACTGAGGAAGGACAAAGACTTTAAAGAAATTTAGAGCTAACCTTGGGGAAGGTATGAGTGAACCAAGAGACTTGGACAAGAAGTCATGGAGTCCAGAGGCTAAAAGAAGTGTGACAAAAAAAATCTCAACCCCTTTGTTTTTGTTTAGTATAGAATGAGATATTGGCTTTCAGGATTCTGTTGTTATACACTACAACAACAAAATAGCACTTATGAAACCTTAGTGATTTCTACTTCTTGACCTGAACTACCTTGAAAGGCTGACAGTTGCCAATATCGACTCATTACTGTTGACTGCAATGCACTTAGTCAAAATCAGGGATGTCAAACTGGTGGCCCACAGGCCGGATGCATCACGTGCAGGCCACGCCCACCCCAGCTCTGCAAAGGCAAAAAAGTCACAATACGTCATGTGACACGGTCGAATTTGACACCCGTGGTCACGATGACCACAGGTTGTGTGTGTGTGTGTGTGTGTGTGTGTGTGTGTGTGTGTGTGAGAGAGAGAGAGAGAGAGAGAGAGAGAGAGAGAGAGAGAGAGAGATTTTGAATGTAGTTTAACAATCAACAGGTAAAGAGAGATTTCTAGGTCAATAGTCTTCAATATACCCTTTGATAATTTTTTGGGCAATATTACAAATTACTCCAAACTACACGACTAAAACAAAACAATTTATTCTAAGACATCTTATTTTCAATTTAAAACTTCTTAAGATATTGATTCACAATTGATTTACAATTGTTATAATGATTTACAATTCATTAACAAGAGAATACTAAATGAATGTGTACAAATTACAAATAATCACAGTGTAGATAAATACATATATAAAAGGAACATTTGAATGAAAAAGCAACAAATGCAGAATCTTGGCTAAAGCTCTACTGTACTAGTCTGCTGACAATGAAAGCCTTCCATTATAATTTCTTCTTCCACATAGTGGTTTTGGATAAGAATTATCATTCTTTTTTCATTATTAGATTACAGCATGACAAATAATTAAATGGCTCTTTAACTATATTCAAACATTGCTTAGAAGTACTCAGGTATCATCTCTTTTTAGTGTGACATTTTTCCTTTCCTCTTGTTCAACTGACCCACTAGTTCTCAAAACAGTAGATAAAGAAACTATAGGTTATAGTGGCCAATACCACTCTAAAAGTAAAATGCAGTAAATCAGATAAAGAATTAAGTAAGGATTAGGTATTAAGTAAATAAAAATTGTTAAGTACCACAGAAATAAAAAGAAAAATTAGAAGTACACAAAAGAAAAGTTTTAAAAGGAAGGAAAGAGAGGGAAAAAGTACTTGAGGCTATTACATAGTTAACACCACATGGTTTTTTCAAGTGTCCTTTTCTCTGATAGTGAAGAAACTATTTCTGGTCCAACTGCTACTAGAATATACAAAAATACCCAACACTTTTTTTGTGAGCTCATACTAGACAGAATGTAAACTGAACCCCCAAAAAACCCCCAAACCCCAAAACCAACTTAAAGGATCCTTTAAGATACATACAGTTCTAAAATAGTTTGATTCAAGTTTAAATAGAGAAAAACTCTCATTTATATATTTACTCCAACAATACAATTATTTCAGACCTTTAACTTTCCATGCTGTTTATTATCCCCTTGAGCATTTCTGAACAAGATCTTATTGAAAGCTTATGCACTGTAGACATATCTATTTCTCCAAAGATATATTAAATATAATTACAACATCATTCATAGTTCACCAAGAGTTTCTGTCTGATTCAAAGTGCAAACAACAGAACTTCCAAGGTGAAGAACAAATTTCCTAGTGGAAGTTAAAGTTAGCCCCTTTAGTTCGGTTTGTGCTTGAAAAATGCACCTGGTTTCCTTCAATCTTATTCTTTACGGCATTTCTTTTCTGTATGAGCATTGATGATTTTAATTTGCTTTCACGTGAGATGCAACTGTGGAGGAGAAGTATGAAATTAAAATTTAACTATTACTTTTACAATAACCAAAATATCAACCTTCTGGTAAATAATCCTGACATTTTCTCAGTTGTTTTGCAAAGATGATGATGATGATGATAATAATAATAATAATAGTAATAATAATAA